GTTAAAAATAAAAACGAGTTCATAGCCACTTGAAACTTGCATTTTTTATTTTATAATTTAATGGGCTGTAAAACTGCCTATCTAAAATTTTTCTAAAAATTCACAATATTCTTATTTAATCTCTACTTTTTCTGCACTTTGTACTAACAAATTTAATTAACTAAATAAACATTCAAAACTTGAAAAAAAATTTTAGGAATTGCCTTGCATTCAGGTGTGTACGGCGAACTTTTTTTCTAATGCGGTCTACTGCGCATACACGCATACATAATCATATGAGCAAGCAAAGCAAATGTAAAGCAGTGTCTTTTAGTAAGTTAGGCGTTTATAGTTGTTGTTTGTTTTTTTTATTGTTTTTAATTGTTAATGCAAAGGAGCAGGTGAAACGAAAACGAAATTAGATGCTACTATTTAAAAAATGAGTGAACCAGTTACTCTTGTGCACTATGTATGTATGAAAAGTTATTATTACTTTATAAATTAATTACGAAGCTTAAAAGTTTAAATGGCAAGCATTTTAACAATAAGCCTTGCCACCAGCATATTGATTGATCTGACCAAAAGAGCACGCAGATTTGGCTAGGCATTACAGCAGAGCTGCAACTCGAACTAATTATGGCACAAATGTATTTCAAATTCAAATGGAGTTCTAAGCAAATGATTAGTGCTCATCGCAAACTGCATAACTTACACTTTGTGTTCATGCATACATATGTGTATGTATGAAAGTGTATTTCTAGCAATTCAGCAAAATTACTTTCGCCTTTCTTTGTAAAGGGTTACAATTTGATGTGAACTAAAACGACTTGAAAGCAATACTTTGCAAAATACACAAATGTGTAAAGATGCCAGGCATAAAAAAGAGTGATTATTTTCGTTTTCCTAACTTTATAAGTATAACTTTTGTGAAAAAAATTAAGATAATTAAATTTTAGGCGTAGATTCGCTAATAGATATGGTTTATAGCTGTGCGGTAGAGCAACCATTGAGCTTAACAAATTAACAAAGCAGCTATAGCTACTACTTACAAACAACTTTGTATTCCAAAAATTGACTTGTGTACGTATATATTATTTATAACTGCTTCTTTTAACTGTTAAATATTTACCACTGCTACTTCCGTCAATTGATTGCTCAGTCGCACAGCTTAATTGTTACTACTAAAAGCAATCCATCGAAGCAAACAAAAAAAGTGAATTGAAAGTTATGGCCTTATTTCTCAACTAAAGAAAAGCTTAATGTACTACACAATGTAGCAACTATTAAATTACCAATGTATCGTAAACTGTATTATATTATGTATTTTTAGTTATGTACTTATATATTTAGAGCGATATATGTACATACATATACAAATTATTTAAACCTTCTTTATAAAGAAAATACATAAGCATATGTAGGTAAGAAAACCACTTATGTAAACTATTTGAAAAATACGTATGAGTAGTAAAACAAAAATATAAACAACAGTTGATTGAAAAAGAAATAAAAACATCAATAAATATTATTATGCAAAATATTTTCAATAAAAAAAAAAAAATGATTTCTTTTTAAGTTTATAGCTTTTTTAACTCATGGTTTGGCCGCTGCGGTGTAGTCATGGGAGTAGCCAGGTAGGGGCAGGGGGTTCTAGGCAATGCCATGCAATTTTCTATACGACTCGAATCTCTAACAACGACTTGCACAAGGCACGCAAAATTTCTAAAAAATTTTGAAATCTGGATCGCGGATTGCGATACCGTCAATAAATATTGAACGTGTAGCACTTTCAAAACGCGATCCATACATTGCGTCAGCACATCTTTTACTCTCATAATGCGAACATCGAAAATGTATTCGCTCTCGGTGCTTAAAACCTTTCAAAAGAAATTGAAAATATGTTAACACAGGAAATTTTAAAATAATTGTGGAATGCATTATCTGTAAATTATACGCCCAAAATAAAAATATTTTCTTGTGTCATAATAAGCATTCAGCACAAAGATTATGCAAATACTGACGCGATAAATATTGAACATGTAGCATTCGCGCGCGATCCATCAATCCATCAATATGGATCGCGATCCAAATATCGTGATAATTACTGGCCGTGTGACAGGGCCCTTAGTATTGGATTCTATTTTCCAACACTGAGAAATGAGTGTAGCTAACTAAGGGCCGATTTCATAATAGTTGCGTTCCAGATGCTTAACGATTTGCAGGTTTATACAGGAAGTCGTTCCAGGTGACCACCTCCCATAAGGTTTATTAATGGAGAAAACAGCTGTTCCTGCAAATCGTGAATTTCGTGAATATCGTGAAGCATCTGGAACGCAACTAATGAGATTAAAGAATACTTTAAAACTTAAAGGATGCTTTATTTAGCTGATCGATTTCATCAAGCAACTTTAAAGTTAAAGGTGCGCACAAAGGCTCTTTAGTTAAATAGCCAAAATGGTAATTTAAATGACATAAAAGGTCCCTTTTGTAAGAAAAAAGTATGTAATTTTCGTAGCATAATTACATATTAGGTTCGTTCGCGTAGCTGTTAATTGTTCATGTTTAACCAAAACTTACAAGTTTTTGCGTTCGCGTACGCAAAAAACTTGCAAAGTAGGGGAAATTGAGAGAGCAAAGTGACATTTCATTTTAAGGGGAAGCTGCTGGTTGCTGCTGGAAAAATTTTTGCCAACAGCAATTCGCCAACAGGAAAACAGCTGGTTGGCATTTACGCAAATCACAAAATTGAATTTGATGGTTTGGAAGTTAAAAATTACAAATTGCGACTAATTAAACTTGTAAGAAATAAGTAGTTATTTGTTTAATCAATAAACTGTGTCAGTATAACACTTTGTGATAACTTTTCGTACGTTTTAAATTTTACACTTTTGAATGTAAACAAAAATTATATCAGCTGTTCGTCTAACTTGCAAGTTTCTGCAAATTTTCTGTTCGCGTACTATTTTGGATATTTCTCTCTTGTGAGCGAACAGATGACATTTCGCCGGAATTTGGCAGTTGGTTGGTTTCTGCTGGAGATTTTAAACGAACGCACCTATTTATGACAATCAGTAGCCCGTTTCTGTAACTTTTCTCTACCAATTATTTCTCTACTGGTAGAGAAAATACGTCACTCTCACCTACTAATTAGCAGTAGAGAACAGAGCGGCGAATTCATATCTCAATTCGCCTTGGTAGAGAATTGTTACAGAAACGAGCTACAGCAGTTGCAATTTAGCCGAGATCAGCATTGCCAACTCTGTTATTTTAATTTAAATGAATCAAGGCGAATTTATACAAGGTGGTGTTACTGGCGAATTTAGTTTACAACAACAACAATCACATGTTTTTGTATTACGGGTGTTATGTCAATTTTCAATTCGCGATATTAACGATTTGCAGGAACAGCTGTTTTCTCCATTAATAAACCTTATGGAAGGTGGTCACCTGGAACGACTTCCTGTAAAAACCTGCAAATCGTGAAGCATCTGGAACGCATCTAAAGTTTACCTGTATTTTGTTTTTGCTTTTGATGGGTATACTGTCAAATCAGTGAAAACAAAATACAGATAAGGCGAAGAAATCAGCTGATTTTAGAACACCACCTTGTATAAATTCGCCCTGAAATGAACCTTTTGTTATTATTCAATTGTCATTGTATTATAAAAACGATTCTTGTTTAAAATACATTTAAATTACACTTCCACGTGAATTTCCACCCCTGCCAATTTGAATTCAAAGCGAATTTGACTCAGAACCTGCCTGAATAATTGTTATTTTTTAATCGATATGTTTTCGATCAAAAATGAAATTAAAATGAGTTAAAATTTGACTTGGATTTTCTCGATCAATAATATAATTTCCAATTGATGTAGGTAGGTTTTTTCCTTATTTTGTGCATAGCCTTTTAAAAAATTTTTGCTGAGTAATTTAAGAAATCTACTGCTAGTATGTATGTACATATATAACATGACCCTTGTATTTTTTTAGTAACCAAGTATATGAAAAAAATAAAAAATAATTTAATTTGGAAATATGTATGTATAATATTTTGTCGCGTGCTCGTGGAAATATCACACTTCGATCTGGTTCCTAAGGGAAATACATATTATTTGGTCTGTTGAGGTGTGGAAATATGAGATTTTCGATTTTCATGTTTTATGATTTCGTTTCTTCTCAAGTTATATTAATCATAATTGACTTTAAAGAAAACTTTATTTGAGAAAATTTGTTTTTCTTTATTCCGCGAATTGGAAATTCGGACAAGCGAGTGTTTAGTTATTTAATATTTCATGACATAGATACAGAGTAAAGATTTACTAAAATTTCTTCTATAAATCGGTGGAAATACATATCATAGTTTGATCCATGTACCATGCAGTGATTTCAATCAAACAAGAAGTGGATTTCCAAACTACTTGAAAAATAGGCTAAAATAAAATAGTTCGCGGTTTACTTCAATCAAAACGGACGTTGCTGCTGTATGTAGTACATTGCATCAAAAGGTTAGCTAAGATTCTTATTAAAAGGTTTCTTAGCAAATTATTATTAAAATAAAACTGCATCGATATATTTTTAATCTTGGGACTGATTTAACGGAACTCTCTGACAAGATCTGAATGAAAAGTGCAAGAATGTCTTTTTAGCCTTCTTGTATGACAACGGGGAGTAGTCTAACGGGATAGTAATGTCTACTTTACGAAAGAAATAACTTACATGTTACCCACAACTCGCTACAAAGCGACTACTTACTTTTAATATATTTCATTTGTAACTCCCCAAATTACATACATTAACGGTCATGCCACTCTGTAGGCTTCCGTTAGCCATACAAACAAAAAGTAGTTTGTAAATAGAGGAAGTGAAATTTTCTTCAAAATAATACTTGAAATTTATATTTTCAATGTTATTTTATTTGTGCATTGATAATTTTCCTTATTTTACTTAAACATATTGGGACTATCCATACAGCAAAAAATGAATGGAACTTTTTAATTTCCTTATCCTCAATGCAACCCTGTGAATTTCCGCAGCCGAATGTAAACAAGAAACAGCTGTTTAATTAGGTAAAAGAAAATTAGTAAATACAAAGTTTATGGGCTCTGCAAATTAGATATATTTATATATTAGCATGCATAAGTATTACAGTAATGATGTGATAACAACGATAAAGTAAATGCTGGTAAATCCATTAACATTCCTGAAGAGTAGCCGACACGGAGAGAATAACTACATATGTACATACATAAAAACGTGCCACATACAAAATCCTGAATACAGAGCTTCAATTGCAACTCCCAAACATTTCAAACATCAGTTTTTATCAAAACAAAAATGTCACGATCATTACAGCAATATCGTTATTGTTTTATCGCTGGCGCCTTTGCTGCTGGCGGCAGCTTCTTTGGTCGTGCACCAAGTCAAATTTCGGAAGTACCTTTATTAGCGAAGCTGCTTTCAACGGATGCAATTTACTTTTTCGGTAGGTAAAATATTTATGTACTATACTTATTAACAAAGCTTATTTAATTTGCACTTTTTATGTAGAGTCGATTCTGCTGCGCCTACTCCCCATTGCATTGATGGTGATTTGTAATTTGTTGAATTGGCGTTACTTTCTCAAAGCGCTACAATGCACCGAACAAACATTGACCGCAACTGTGCTAACAGCTGCTGCCAATTATATGCTATCGGTAATAAAATTGTTGCAAATAAAAATACTTGTTTTATATGATATTAATTTAAATACATAATGATTGCTTTATTAGTTTATATTAGGTGCACTTGTGTATCGAGAAGTATTTACACTGCTATCAACTGTGGGTGCAGCATTGATAATTGCGGGGCTTTGGTTTCTCTGTAAGGCACAAGAACAGCAAAAAGCAAACGAAAAACGTAAGAAGCTTACGTGAAGAATAAAATTAGTTGGTAGTCTATTAAGTATTTAATTGTACAGAAAATTAATTTAATGGTTGCGTTTCTTTATACATTCCGGATAATCCGATTTCAGAGCCAGAATAAACAGAACGCGTTTGAAATATACGTTAGCATATCATCAGGAACGTTCTCAAGAATAAGTAAACAAAAAAGTTTATTCCCAACGTTCAGAATGAATAAAGAAATGCAGCCAATATAAAATATGCGGAAATATATTATATTAAACTAGAGTAATTTCATTTGCAGGAATACTTAACACCTTGTAACGTAAGTATTTAAATTTTTTTCTGGGTGTACCGCGTTTCATAAATTTCACTTGTTATCCTTGTAGAGTGAACTACGCCCCTTCAGGGTGCTGTCTGGGTCTCGCCTTCATGTTTGCCCTATGGTCACCTGCCTATCGATCATTTAAGGGCATTCATTCAGCCCAATTCTTAATACTCCCGGGGGAGTTTGTTCTCCGTGAATCTGTTTCTCCCGGAAAATAAATCCTCCAATAATTAACTACCAGGGAGTAGAATTTACTCGGAAAACTTGGGCGGGGGAAATTCGAACTTCAAAGACGCGGTTTGACACTAGTTTGAGAGCTCAACTAAGCCATTTAATATAAAAAGTCCTCAGGGAATTTTTATTCATGATAGGAAAAGAGAGAAAACTCCCAGGGAGTTTGAATTCATAATCGGCCTGATTGTATCACACGAATAGCTATTTGTTGTCAGAAATGTATTCGAAGATTTGCCGCTGACAGCCGAGGGACGACCGCTATGAAAGAAAATTGACCAAGGTATTACCTGAACCAGCCCAAGTGGTAAACTTTTAATACCGACAGTAGATAAAACTACCTTTCCACTACGAATTGACGGACGAAGTCCAGAAGTTCATGAAACAACCTCTGGACCCAACTGAATGCCGTTTTGGGCACACACCCACCCGACGTGGACGGGACAGAACTTTGTCTGCCTCGGGAGACTCGCACCACAATAGTCCAACTTCGCTCTGGATATTGCAGCAGGCTAAACTCGTACCTGAGCAGAGTGAACGAAGATGTGAAAAAGATGTGCCCAACAAGTGAATGGCATGCGGAGAGTCGACGCATGACTCACGGCACCTCTTCGCATGCCCGTGTGGAAGTCGCGCACTTCCTGGGTCTCCTCTTAGCTGAACCAGATGTCTCGAGCGGGGTTTAGTAGCCCCTACAACAACCTTTCCACCATGACCACACCCACACCACGTTGTGAAATAATAAACTTGAGATTTTTTTGTAATTTTTGTTTGTTGTTTCTTTCTCTTTTTTTAATATAAGTAATATTTTTGTATGATTTATTTGTTGTTGTTTTTTATCAATTAATTTTAATAATAATAATAGTAATAATAATTATTATAATAGGTAGGCGTATAATTACTTTCCGTTTTGCTCTTCACTTCACGTTGAAATACTAAACAAAATATGTTTTATCAGCTGAAGGCAACTACTAACGACACAGACCATTTTTTATTCATTGTTTTTCAAATTAAGCACGCTTAAAGCCGCTGTAGCTTATATTATTTTGCCATAATAGCAGATTTCTAAACATTTTTCAAACACGACTAAATATTTAAAATATCTTTGAAAAATGTTGGTACGTTTTCCTTTTTAGCCTTTTGCTTTGTACAGAAGCGCTTTCAACTCGGTTGTACGGCTACTCCCCTACTCCTACTTTTGTTGTTTGTGTTTTTATAGTTGCTGCCAACCATGCATTTATGGTGTTATCGTGTTTCATATGCTTTTTATACTGTTGTTTTTGTGTCGTTCAGTTGTTTCGGTTGCGCTTCATTTTTAGATTTCTTTTTTCTTTCTGGCTTACATGATGAAAGAGCAGTTACATACATTTATAATATTAATTAGAAAAAATGAATATAAATAAGTATTTCTGTAATTGAAATTAGCATAAAGTTTCTTTGCATTTCTTTAAATATAATATTCTTTTTTTCTTTTTCTCTTCCGCCTTTTGCTTTCATTTGTTCCCCCATTTTTTTTGTTTTACTTTAAAGTTTTCTTTATGAAATTAAATATTAACGCGCACGCGTATGTTTACATTTCATTGTTGCAGTTTCGCTTGCTTTTTTTGTGGTTGCCGCTGCTGCTGTTACTACTACTATGGTACTGCAGCTTTGACTTTCGCCACACTACTAATTAAAGGTTAATGTATTCTTTTGTTTTTCTTTTTTTCAGTTTCTATATGTAAGTGTATGTGTATATGTTTGTGTTTGCGGTTTTCTTTTTTCATATATGTATGTATATATTTACGATTCTTAAGAGGTTCATATCAATCTGCCTTCTGCTTCAAACGCTTCAATCCTGCTTTTTCATCACACATTATTTTCAGTTTGCTTCTAACCTGTATTTACGTGTTTCATTTTCTCATTCTCTGCGCTTCAGTTTTTATTATCCAAGCCCATCGGCATGCGCTGCGATGAGCGGTTCATGTATGAGCTGGATGATGTGTTTGTCTGGCCGCCACCGCTATTGCGCCCACCAAGCGTGCGTGGAGGTGGCGCATTGCCGCGTCCGTTACCGCCACCGCCACTGCCTGTGCGCGGTCCGCGGTAGCTGCCTGAATCGTAGCGCGAGCCGGAATCTTTCGTGTACACATTGCCGCCACCGCCGCCACCGTTCTGGTAGTACGAGCCACCCGACGAGTTATCGTTGTTGCGGAAGTACATCCCACCGCGTCCACCACCGTTCGGCTGCGAGTTGCCGTAGTTACCGCGACCACGTCGACGCTGGAACTGGCGACCATTGTTGTAGTGTGCTACAAATGGAATGGTTTGTAAGAAAAACGACCTATATAAAAAATCATTACTAACCTCCATCCTGCTGTTGATTCGAGTTCCAGTGATTGGAGTCATGTGTGTTGGCGTTTGACTGCGTACCGCCGCTATCACCATAACCGCCACCACCACCCACGTTGGTGCCGCCTCCACTGCCACCGCCGCCACTATTGTTGCTCGATGTCCACTCAATTTTGCGCGCAATGGGTGGGGTATTGTCGCTGTTTGCACTTGGCGTTGATGGGTTGCTAAGCGCATTCATTTCGGCGCTCCACTTCGTAGGCGGCTCCATTACGCTGACCGGCCCACCGCCACCTCCGCTGCTGCTACTGCTATTAGCAGGGGCAACGTTGACATTAACGACGCTAGTGCGTGACTTCAATGCATTTGCAAGCGCAGCAGATGCGGCGGCGTTTGTAACGACACTGCTATTGATGTTGGCTGAACGCACATCGGCATTTGCTTTCGACATGGCGTCCCATTCGTTGACCACCACTGACTCACCAGCATTGAACTTGTTATGCGCGCCAATATCTTCAGTTACTTTCTTCTCCTCAGCGGCTGCAGCTGCAGCAGCGGCGGCAGCAGCAGCACTCGCTTTTGCTACGACAGCCAATTGCTGTTGCATTTGCTGCTCGTAAGTCAAGGTCACCACATTATTATCGAAACCCAGGAAACCGGCAGCGGTAGCTGCAGACACATCCGATACCCGTACCTCGCCAGGTTGCATACCCAATGACGGCTGTGGCTGTTGTGTTTGCTGTTGTTGTTGCTGTACTTGTGGCGGTTGCTGGAGCTGTTGGTTTATATTTTGTGGAGGCATACGCGCTTGCGGCGCCGTCAAGCGTGCCATTATCATCATAGGTGGCTGGTGCTGCGGCTGTTCGTTGATCAACAACTGTTGCTGATGTGCTGCAATGGCTTCCTGAGGCGGCAAACCCGGACCGCCGATAGGTGAGAACAATTGTGGAAGTTTCTGCTGTTGTTGCTGTTGCTGCGGCTGCTGATGTTGTTGCTGCTGCTGCTGATGTTGTTGTTGCTGTTGCTGCTGTTGGAACATTGGGCTAGGTGTGCTACTCACTATTGTCGGAGTGTTGCTAATGTTAGCGCTGGTTGATACTACCACGCTTGCCGGCGGTTGCATGGGTGGGAATGACTGATTTGTAAATGTTTGCGTCGGAATCGCTTGTTGCTGTTGAGACGGTTGTGGTGGTTGATGGTGTTGTTGTTGTTGGTGCTGCTGCTGTTGCTGTAAGATCTGCTGTTGTTGATGTAAGTGGTGTTGCTGGCTCTTGTGGAGCTCTGCCGCTTGCAGCTCGCTTCCGTGACTCAATAAATTTTGTTGTTGCAACTGTTGTTGAGCCTGTGAAACATTCTCGTGTGGAATGGGTTGCTGTTGTTGCTGCTGCTGATGCGCTTGTTGTTGTGCCGACGGTTGCTGTTGTTCAAATACGACACTACCAATAGGCGCATTTCCAGCTATTTCGGGCGAATCCAGTTCGCTCTCCTGCAAAAAGTAGAAGCTGCCATTGCCGATTATCTCAGCTACTGGACGCATCTGTTGCTGTATAAATTGTTGCCGGTTATGCGGGAACAAACCCTGCTCTACAGCGCGTACCGTTGTGGGTGTGAAATGTCCTGGTGGTTGTTGTGGTGTGCCATGGATTGGAATCGCGCCTTGTGGCAATTGTACGCCGCCCGCTGGCGTAGCTGGGCTGGTCATCATTTGTCGCTGCTGCGGTGTTGGCGCTTGAGCAACGGGCACCATTTGTGGCGGCACTTGAGGCACGCCTATGATGCTGCCGGGCGGTACCTGTTGCAACTGAGGTGGAGCTGCCTGCATTTGTTGTGCTGCAAACATTGCTAAATGCACTGGTGCCGCACCGCCCGCTTGTAATGGTGCCTGAAAGCTTGGCACTGTCCCAGGAACAGGGTTTGGTGGTTGCATTACTGCTGCATTGGTTTGTTGTTGAGGTTGTGGTAAACCAGTTTGAACCTGCTGTTGTACATCAAGGTGCTCCTTGACTGTTTGCTGTGGTACCATTTGCGGTGGCAAGAGTTGCTGTTGTTGTGGCTGCTGTTGCAAGTCGTTGGCGACACTAGCATGCAGTGGTAATCCACCGGCATCTTCGCCGCCTACACTGGTTGCTGTATTCTGCTCATCTAACTCTTCATCCACATCCTCAGATGAAACGTTCAATTTGTCCATTCCCTCCTCTAAGGTTTCTTCTTCCGCAGTAACTGTCTCTTCACCTTCAACAACTTCACCAAACTCCTCCCCCTCCTCCTTGCTCTCAACTTCGGGTTCGGGAGTGACCAGATAGACTTTGTCCAAATAACCAGACTCTTGTATTTGATTGAAAATGCGTCGTAGTTGATCATACGTAATGTTATCAGCATACGTCTTCGGGCGTCCGTCAATAGTCATTGAAAAAAG